GCAGACGTCATCCATACACTCGGTGTTTCCACTAGTAAGTCCTACTAATCAGGTACAGACGTCATCCATACACTCGGTGTTTCACTGATTAGTCCTACTAATCAGGTACAGACGTCATCCATACACTCGGTGTTTTCACCGATTAGTCCTACTAATCAAGTACAGCCGTCATCCATACACTCGGTGTTTCACTGATTAGTCCTACTAATCAGGTACAGACGTCATCCATACACCCGGTGTTTCCACTGATTAGTCCTACTAATCAGGTACAGACGTCATCCATAAACTCGGTGTTTCCACTAGTAAGTCCTACTAATCAGGTACAGACGTCATCCATACACTCGGTGTTTCCACTAGTAAGTCCTACTAATCAGGTACAGACGTCATCCATACACTCGGTGTTTCCACTAGTAAGTCCTACTAATCAGGTACAGACGTCATCCATACACTCGGTGTTTCCACTGATTAGTCCTACTAATCAGGTACAGACGTCATCCATACACTCGGTGTTTCCACTAGTAAGTCCTACTAATCAGGTACAGACGTCATCCATACACTCGGTGTTTCCACTAGTAAGTCCTACTAATCAGGTACAGACGTCATCCATACACTCGGTGTTTCCACAAGTAAGTCCTACTAATCAGGTACAGACGTCATCCATACACTCGGTGTTTCCACAAGTAAGTCCTACTAATCAGGTACAGACGTCATCCATACACTCGGTGTTTCCACTAGTAAGTCCTTCTATTCAGGTAAAGATATCATACCAAACACAGTATTTTCTCTGCTATTGTATCCCTCTGCCTACACAAGTATTCTGTTGTGAAATATTCACTGTTTATCTCCAAATATCGACTTCATCAAATCTCCCCCCCCCTTCAAATTTTGTCAAGATATTTTGATCGACTTCATTAGGTTGAACGGAAGATTTATCACCCTAAAGGAAAAGTCCTATATTGAAGTTTTTCGTGAAACTAATACTCAGAAATTTAAGTCAAAGTCTGTCAAACGATCTCACTATTTAGAAATTTATACAATTATTATTTTTCTCGAGTTTCTGTTTCGAAAAACGCGTTTAATAGCTTTCGTGAGAACAGAAAGAAACAGCTGTTGGTATTTTCAGGGAAGTGATTTCATATCAGATTAATTAAACACTCGTAAACAGTCTGTTTCTGGCCCATGAGGCTTCTAACGAGAGCGGCGACATTAATACAGTCACGTATACGAAAATGCTGAGCAATCGTAGTGAATTCCAAGAAGAAAAACAACAAAGAGCACCTGCTTGTTTCCATAAAAACTCCAGCAGTTCGAGTAAGATTAAATCAAGCGACCGTAATTCGCTGGTAAGTTTTCAGACAATTTCCTGGTTGTTTTCCGGGCTTAACAAATGACGTAATGATAGGAAATGTAGTGGCGCCAAGCAGTCTGGTAATCGCACGTGAAGGTCAGCAGGAACTCGTGGAAAAATGTGTTGCGTACTGGCACTCGGATTTCAGTTAAAAACTAGAAATAACTACATATCTCTAAATTCTTTTATAACCTACATTCTTTCCAAGGAATTATCTATAAAAAAAAAATCATTTCCAAATATTTGTGTTTTAAAATAATATTTGATCATACTTTTAAATACTGTTTAAGATCGAGATATATCTTTCAGCTGTTTACAGTTTATACCTGTACAATTAACAAAAGTGTTCTTAAACTGTTTACAGTTTATACCTGTACAATTAACAAAAGTGTTCTCAAACTGTTTACAGTTTATACCTGTACAATTAACAAAGGTGTTCTCAAACTGTTTACAGTTTATACCTGTATAATTAACAAAGGTGTTCTCAAACTGTTTATAGTTTATACGTATACAATTAACAAAGGTGTTCTCAAACTGTTTATAGTTTATACCTGTACAATTAACAAAGGTGTTCTCAAACTGTTTATAGTTTATACCTGTACAATTAACAAACTGTAAACAGTTTGAGAACACCTTTATACATGTACAATTAACAAAGGTGTTCTCAAACTGTTTACAGTTTATACATGTACAATTAACAAAGGTGTTCTCAAACTGTTTATAGTTTATACATGTACAATTAACAAAAGTGTTCTCAAACTTTTACAGTTTATACCTGTACAATTAACAAAAGTGTTCTCAATCTGTTTACAGTTTATACATGTACAATTAACAAAGGTGTTCTCAAACTGTTTACAGTTTATACATATACAATTAACAAAAGTGTTCTCAAACTGTTTATTGTTTATACATGTACAATTAACAAAGGTGTTCTCAAACTGTTTACAGTTTATACATATACAATTAACAAAAGTGTTCTCAAACTGTTTATTGTTTATACATGTACAATTAACAAAAGTGTTCTCAAACTGTTTACAGTTTATACCAAAGATGGCCAGCTAGAGTCAGGATGCCTGAAGAAAAGCTATAAAGGTTAGGTTTGCCAAAGATAACCAGCTGGCGTCAAGATACCTGAGAGAAAGCTATAAAGGTTAGGTTTGCCAAAGATAACCAGGTGGCGTCAAGATACCTGAGAGAAAGCTATAAAGTTTAGGTTTGCCAAAGATAACCAGCTGGAGTCAAGATACCTGAGAGAAAGCTATAAAAGTTAGGTTTGCCAAAGATAACCAGCTGGAGTCAAGATACCTGAGAGAAAGCTATAAAAGTTAGGTTTGCCAAAGAGAACCAGCTGGAGTCAAGATGCCACAGGGAAAACTATAAGGGTTAGGTTTGCCAAAGATGCCACAGGGAAAGCTATAAAGGTTAGGTTTGCCGAAGATAACCAGCTAAAGACAAGATGCCTGAAGGATAGCTTTTAGGGTTAGGATTGCCAAAGATGGCCAGCTAGAGTGAGGATGCCTGAAGAAAAGCTATAAAGGTTAGGTTTGTCAAAGATGGCCAGCTGGAGTCAGGACGCCACAGGGAAAACTATAAAGGTTAGGTTTGCCAAAGATGGCCAGCTAGAGTCAGGATGCCTGAAGAAAAGCTATAAAGGTTAGGTTAGGTTTGTCAAAGATGGCCAGCTGGAGTCAAGATACCTGAGAGAAAGCTATAAAGGTTAGGTTAGGTTAGGTTTGTCAAAGATGGCTAGCTGGAGTCAGGATGCCTGAAGAAAAGCTATAAAGGTTAGGTTAGGTTTGTCATAGATGGCCAGCTGAAGTCAAGATGCCTGAAGAAAAGCAATAAAGGTTAGGTTAGGTTTGTCAAAGATGGCCAGCTGGAGTCAAGATGCCTGTAAGAAAGGATCTCATAGATTTTCAGGGAGGAATGATTAATGGATACTACGTTCTAAACATTTCATTCCACCTATTGATAACGAATCCTGCGTGATTAGTGTTTAGATGTTATGGAAGATAGATCGGATGTGTGTTGTGAATATATAACATTGAAATCCATGAGTGATAACTTTTCACATCTGCTGAGCCTTGGGATTGCAGGACTAGCTGCAACCCATACGCCATTCATTACAGTTGCCACTGCAGATGGAGTTACATTGGGTAAAATAGTGTATCTTTTACCATGGTAACGGCCTGTACATTATCGCGCGCCCCAGCCACTGTTGGTTTGAGACAAATAACACTTTAAAGCTACGCTGACATACATACAATTGAGTTGTTTTGGTCTGAAATTTCATTGTACTCGTAGCTGATCTGAGAGGGGAGTGGCGATCTATTCCGCCATACGACCAATGTTACTGTATAAGTCAAACCTATTAAAAATGTTACACCAAGATCGAAACACAAACACACACAGTTTTTCTAATGTCTCTAAGTAGCGTATGTTGTGAGAATAACAGTTATTGTAATTGTTTTATATAAATATGTGTATATTTGTCTTTTCTCTCTCAGCGGGATATTGTTGGCTTAAAGTTAACAAGAATGGACGTTGCACGACATTTTTCGGGGGGAACGTTTCCCGTCAGGATTGTTGCTCAGACAGCAGAGCCAACACAGCCTGGACACCACAGGACTTATCATCGGGTCAGCTGTTTTATTGGACGGTTTTTGGAGGAGGTGTGCCATGTCAGCCTTGTAAAGGTCAGCTTCTGATAGCAAAGTGAAACGTTATTGTAAGCCAAAAGGTCGATAAGCGAAAAGAAACTGTGGGATTCTTGGCCAGCGGAATCAATGTTCTATCCATCTGTTCGCTTACAATAACGTTTCTTAGAATGTGTACTTTCATTCATTCATAATATGATCTTCATATAGTCAAGAAACGATATATACAACAATAGATTACATGTAACTTATTTTACACCGAAACACATATCTAACTCGTTTGGAGTTGGAAAAGAAAACTTTATTGTTAGAGCTAGTGGTGATGACCATTAAAAACATGGTATAAATATCGAAATCAAACGAAATTAATGTTCACAAAAGTAAAGTTCTTTACCATTAAACACGAGGAATTAACGGTAGAAAGAGGTTAAAGTAAGTATGAAAGGAAAGTTCTTTACCATTAAACACGAGGTATTAACAGTATAAGAAGGTTAATGTAAGTATGAAATGAAAGTTCTTTACCATTAAACACGAGGAATTAACGGTATAAAGAGGTTAAAGTAAGTATGAAAGGAAAGTTCTTTACCATTAAACACGAGGTATTAACGGTAGAAAGAGGTTAAAGTATGTATGAAAGGAAAGTTCTTTACCATTAAACAC